TTGCTGGCACTGAGGCAGGGTTCTTTTGCTTTGACTGTGCTCAGATCTGGGTTGCAGTCCTTGTGGCAGTCCTGGGGGAGGAGGAGCGCTGAAGTGGTAGAGCTTGTGGCAGCAATGGACAGGGAATCATCCTCACAGTTCCAAGGAAGAAAAGAGTGCTTGTGGTCACTCATAGACCACAGCACAGCCCAGGAAAGAAGTAAATACCTCCCCTTTGATCATACACCTTGGAATAACTGGAAATTTATAGATCCCTGGAGGTATCTCTGAAAACAGCTTCATAAAACCCCTGAAGCTTAGGACAGTACACCCTCCACACTGGAAGCAGAGCCCTACCTTAAAAAAGAGTTAAAAAGTAAAGTAATTGTCTGGGAATACAAGCAAACAGTGGTGGGAAAAACCTCAGAGTATATAATCTTACTTCGGTGACAAAGAAGATTAAAACATACAACCAGAAAAAGACAACAAAATCAAAACTCCTACATCCAAGGCCTCCAAAAAACTTATGAATTGGTCTCAGGCCATGGAAGAGCTCAAAAAGATTTTGAAAAGCAAGTAAGAGAAGTAGAGGAAAAACTGGGAAGAGAAATGAGAGTGATACAAGGAAATCATGAAAAGTCAACAGCTTGTTAAAGGAGACCCAAAAAAATGCTGAAGAAAATAACACCTTAAGAAATAGACTAACCCAAATGACAGAAGAGGTCCAAAAAAACCAATGAGCAGAAGAATGACTTAAAAAGCAGACTTGGCTAAATGGAAAAGTAGGTCCAAAAGCTCAATGGAAAAATAATTCCTTAAAAATTAGAATCGAGCAAATGGAAGCCAATGACTCTATGAGAAATCAAGAAATTGTAAAACAAAACCAAAAGAATGAAAAAATAGAACACAATGTGAAATAACTTATTGGAAAAACAACTGACCTGGAAAATAGACCCAGGAGAGATAATTTAAAAATTATAGGACTACCTGAAAGCCATGGGCAAAAAAAGAGCCTAGACATCATCTTTTAAGAAATTATCAGGAAAAACTGTCCTGATATTCTAGAACCAGAGGGTAACATAGAAATTGAAAGAATCTGCCAATCATCTCCTGAAAGAGATCTCAAAAGAAAAACTCCTAGGAATATTATAGCCAAATTACAGAGTTCCCAGGTCAAGGAGAAAATATTGCAAGCAGCCAGAAAGAAACAATTCAAGTATTGGGGAAACACATTCAAGATAATGTGAGATTTAGCAGCTTCTACATTAAGGGACTGGAGGACTTGGAAGGAGTGAGGAAGGGAGAGAATTTGGAACTCAAAGTTTTAAAAATGAAAATTAAAATTGTTTTTATGTGCAATTGGGAAATAAGATATACAGGCAATGGGGTACATAAATCTATCCTGCCCTATAGGAAAATGGAAGGGGAAGGAGAAAAGAGAAGGGGGTGGGTGTGATAAAAGGAAGAGCAGACTGGGGGAAGGGGTTTTCAGAATGCATGCCAACTTGGGGTTGGGGGGAGGGGAGAGATGGGGAGAAAATTTGGACCTCATCTTGTGGAGGTGAATGTTGAAAACTACAAATAAATAAATACTGTTTTTTTAAAAAGAGAAAAAAAGAAAATTATAGTGTTTTGTGCCTTCATTAAGAAGCACTTAATGAGTGTAGCAACAAAAATTGAGAATTATTTATACCACAAATTCACTTTTCAATTACCAAATTGTTCCCTAGATTTAGATATGGTATTTTGAATTGCTTCTCAAGCCATCTACAGTTTAACTATGAAACATATGTTCCTGGCATTTCTTAGGATATTTTACTTTTTTCAGATAAGTAATCAAAGGCTAAAACTATCTCACTAAAACCCACTGTCCTAGAAAAATCCTCATAACTAATGACCTAAAGAAGACAATGACATCATCAAAGCAACAGGAACTAAAAACAGCTTTGGCAGCAGCTAAGAGCTATATTGAACTACTGAAAAAAAATTCAGAAAGGCAAAGGAATAAGATAATTCAGTAAGTTCAGTGACTCAATAAGCATTTATTAAGCTCCTATAATGTACCAGGTACTATGCTAAGCACTAAGGAAACAAAGAAAGCCAACAGTCAATCCCTGCTCTCAAAGAGCTCAGAGTCTAATAGAGAATATGACATGAGAACAATTATGTCCAAACAAGATATATACAGTATATACTGGAGATGATTAATAGAGGGGAGATATTAGCATTAAGAGTAATGGAGAAAAGTTTCTTGTGGAAAGTGGAATTTTAGTTGGAACTTGGAAGTCAGAGAAATCAGGAGGTTAAGATGAGGAGAGAGAGTTAGAGTTGCTTGCCTTTTTATAGGATTTTAGTTTCCAAAGAGTTGTCAAATCCTTACACTCAACTGATTCTTATGCTAACCCTGTCTATAAGTGTAACAGGATAGTGTTATTACTCCTTGTTTACAGATGAACAAATTGACACTCTAAGCAATTAAGTCAGGGGTGGGAACCTGTATGTGGCCCTTTAGGTCCTCTAGGGTGGCCCTTTGACTGACTTCAAGTTTTACAGAGCAAATCCTTTTATTAAGGGGATTTGTTGTGTGAAGTTTGGATGTAGTCAAAGGGCCACACCCAAGGACCTAGAAGGCTACATGTGGCCTCAAGGCCACAGGTTCCCCAACCCTTAATTAAGTGATTAGTCAAAGTTCAGGCATCAAAACAAATTTAGAATTGGGAGAGATCTCAGTGATCTAATTCAACTTCCTCTTTTTATTCATAATAAGTATTGGAGCCAGAACTAGTCATACCTTCTAATTCTTAGTGATTGAATCAATAAATCAAATCACCCAATCCCATATAAAGTAAATGTTTAGATGCTGTGTCCTCATTTCTTAAATAGTTGCGAACAGTTCTCTATTAAATCAATAAATCATAGGCTTTAGACTAATTGTGGATGAACTTTTATCAGTTAAGACATCATTGGATGAGCTGGAGTGATTTTGCACAGGAAGTGTGTTAGGATCGGTTGAGGAAACTTGGCTACACCTTATGAGTCATCTACAAGTTATCTTTTGGTTTGGAACCATATATTCAAGAGTGTCTAGCAATTTATTGGTGGAGGCCTCCAGCCAAGCTCCTGAGGAATTAGTTGGTAGGAGAAGGGAAAGGAAGGAGGGGAGAGAGAAATATCTCAGCTTCAGCATGAGTCTCTTCTACCTCCTCCTCTTGACTAAAAAACTTGTCACTTTGGGAGGGTCAGAAGATTTGGACTTTTAAATCATTGTGCTAGCAGCATCCCCAGGATAGCATAGCATTACACAGGGTACTTTGGAAGAGAAGATACAAAATCCCATCCATTTAAGAAGCTTCTACTTTTGCTGAGGAGATGTAAGGTACACACACAGGAAACAAATAGAATACTATTACATAATGGTTTGTGATTAATAGCTAAATTGAATTTATCAAGTACTAATATCATGTAGGAAAATAGTCAAGGAACCTATGATTTTTAAAGGAGTCAGTAATTTGAGTATATGAAATGATATGAGTAATTGCAAAAACACAATTTTAGTTAAAAGTAATAAAGTGAGTGATGATATTCTGGATTGTTGGAAAACACTTTTATCAGTGCCTTGGAGGAAGACACAGCTGGCATGTTATTCTCTTAGATGATACAAAACTATAGAGGTTAATTGATATATTAAATATCAGAATCATTATGTAGGCAAACCTTAATAGGTTAGAATGATGGGACAAATCTATTAAGACAGAATGTAATAAAGATATGTGTAGAAAGCCTTCCATTTCTGTTTTTAAAAAATAATGTAACTATGTAAGTAAAAGATAAATCAGAGAGGTGGGAACCCATAGACCTGGTAGAATGTCAGCCATGTGAATTAAAAACCCCCCAAATTAATGTGACCTTGTCATGCATTAATAGAAGCATAGAAAGCAAAATAAAAAGGTTATAGCCGTGATGAATACTCTCCTGGTTTAGACCATTACTGGCATATGATTTTCTGGGCACCACATCTATGTTCAGAGGACAGTGATTAGTATTGTAGAGGTACTTAAAACTATGACATGAGAGGATGGGTTGAAGAAAATGAGGTTGTTTTACTGAAGTGCTTCTGGGAAAGCCACTTAACGTATTTGATTCAGGGAACTAAATTTGTGTGATTGTAAATTAGAAAAGTGTTGGGATTTGAGTAGGTAAAGGGAGTGCTCCCACCAGGAGTTCCCATTGCTACAAAAGGATGCATTTGCAAGGCTGTTATTTGGAAGGGGATTAGCCTTGTTCTGGTTGGCCTCAGAGGTAATTAGGAAAAATTGGTGACAGTTACAGAGAGGCAGATTTAGTTCAAGATAAGGAAAACATTCCTAACAACTCAAGATGTCCTGAAGTGGAGCTGGCTTCCTTGTGATATAGTACAAAATGTCATAATTGGCAGATTCTTGTGTTGTCCAAGTGGCAAATTGGCCATATGCCTTGCTTTTCTCTTTTAGATTCCTATCTTGATTTAATTTGAGTACTCTTAAACATCTCCATTACAAGAGTGTAGGGAGGAAATAATCAAAATAAAGGTTAAATTCAAAAGTTTTTTAGGGAGGTTCTGAATTTCATCTATGATCTCATTTATTCCGAGTGCAAAGACAATTTCACTGAGAATTTTATAAAATGGCAGAGAAAGAATGCTGTATTTACATTGCGATAGATAAAAATGTACAGGTACTTTAATATATCCAAGGTGACAGAAGCCAACATACTGAAAAAAAACTGATGCTCTGTTATGAATTCACAAAAGATAATTTGTGAATTAAATAATATTTTTTAAGTTTCTGTAGTTTTTAATGAAGAACATGTCAAAGAATTACAAAAATTTGCTGCCTTAGAGAGAAACACATTCTTTATCAAAGATAGTTTTCTTCTATTGGAATTTCTTCACAATGGATTAATTGAACCATAGAAATCATGTTTGTAATGTTAATAAGCTTGTTTAAGCAAAAAGACTAATGAGATTCCTTCTTTGCTTGCAGATTTTCAGACGTTGTTGGTTGGTTTTCAAGAAAGCATCCAGCAAAGGACCCAGAAGGCTCGAAAAATTTCCAGATGAAAAGGCAGCTTATTTCAGAAACTTTCATAAGGTAAGCAAGTCATAGTTTTCTGAGGCCATGGGGAATAATTGAACCTTTGACAGCAACTGCAGATGAAATCTGCAGAGGCAAAAATACCATCACCAGGATAAAACGTCCCCATTCTGATAAAGTGTAAAAGTTATTTTTTCCCCCTCACTCTAATCATCTGGTCTGAATGCCAGTAGTGTCTTTGGAAAATGAAAGACCTACTTTTATTGCTACTTTGCCAAATGAGATGACTCATCAGTCAACCAGATCATTTGTAAAGGTGCTGAATAGGCACATTTCTTCTGTTCAGGTTAATTGTGAATTTGTTACTTAAGCAGTATTTGAGTTATACAACACTTTTAGCAACATTATTGATGTGATGAGGACTCCATTTCTTACTCTCATCATTTCTCCATTTTCCATCAACTTTTATGAACATTTACTAAATTCACATCATAGACTGCTTCTGGTGACACAAAATCCTCCCTGGTCACTTGCAGTGATCCCGTGCATACCTCTCTAGCCTGGGCACCACTTTCCTTTTGTTTTTGTTATCCTTTGGCAGGAAGGCCTTATTGTTGAAAATCATTGAAAAAATAAAATATCATGAGAAAATATCAATGCTATCTTTTGACTTCAAAAACTTCCATGACATATATCGAGGTATTAGAATTCAGTGTCCTCTCTTTCCCAGCAATTAAAAGCCTATATAGGGCAAATATTAAGTAACTAAGTGGGGCAGTAGAATACTAGGCTTGGATTCAGGAAATCCTGAGTTCAATTGTCACCTCAGACACTTACTAGCTATGTGACCCTGAGTAAGTCATTTAACCCTGTTTGTCTCAGTTTCCTCAGCTGTAAAATGAACTGAAGAAGGAAATGGCAAACCACTCCAGTGTCTTTGCCAAGGAAACCCCAGATGAGTTCACAAAGTATCAGACACAACTCAAACAACTAACAACATGAAAACAGTAGATAACCTATAGAAAGTTTGCTGCTGAGTGGCATTTTAAACACTTGTTATAGGTATAATTCTTCTCCCTATATGTACCTTAACTTCCCCCTTTCTTCTCCTATTTCTTCTCTTTTACATTCTTTTCTGTTCATTTCTCTACTTTCTCTTTCTTTATTTTTTCTCCTAATTTTAAACTAAAAGTATTGTGCACAAGCAGTGCTTACCTCTGGTAGTGACACCTGAGATAAATAAATGTCTTATCCTTGGTCTGGACTAGAGTCTGCTTCATTGGAAATCACTAGCAGTATTCTTAGGCTGTCAGTCGATAAACAAACCTTACCATTGAGTTACTCTGTAAATAACCAATAAGTCTGATTGGCCAGAGGCCAACATTTTGAGCTTGGCGGATGGATACCAAATTCATATAAGTAAGTTATGAATAAGCAATAATCCCAGCAAAAATACATATGGGCTTTGTTTTGTTTTGTTTTTCTTTTCTCCCTAGCATGCTGTCAAAGGGTAGTAGAAGATTAGAACCAGTAGAAGAAATTTTAATGACATAGTTTCTTAACAGAAAATAATGGCTTAGATTTCATTGACTTGCAAGTAAGGTTCCCCAAAGTACCTTAATAACAGGAATCATTACACACAGCCCCTAAAATATTACTTTTATCATGTCAGGATTATGAAGATTAATGTTTTATTATTGTAACTTACTCCTGATAACCCTGAGTGGCTAATTTAGTTTGGAAGTGATTTAGGAAACCCCAAGGAATTTTAACTTATTCTGGCTGCTGTGATCAATTGTGAAAGAAAACACTAATGTTAAATCAGCACTTCCATGTTAAACAGTGGAGCATGAGTCTTCATGGAGAATAAACATTAGGGGCTATTTCAGGAGAATAGTAAACTGGGATTTTTTTGCCCTTTTTTAAAATAGTCTTTTTTTAAAAAAATTTACATTATAAAATAGCATGTTCTGGTGGACAAAGATAAATACAGCTTGAAAATCTCACTCCTTACACATAAGTGACTCCATCAAGTCACTTAACATCTCAGTGTCCCAAGCAACTTTCAAAGATTATAAATTTAAAACTCATGACTTCCACATGGGTAGAGGAGATTTTTGTACCAATAGTTTCCTACATTAATGTAATCATGGTTCAAGTAACAACAATAATTATATGTGGCCAACAGATACTTAGATACATACACATACATGCATACATACATACATAGACACATAGATATACAAAAATATATGCTTGGTTTTTTTGAGTTTTGCTTTTTATTATTTCTGTCTGCCCTGATCCACAATAATATCATCAACATCAACAACCCGTGAATTTAAAATTTTTATACTTTTTGGTTTCTCTTATCTTAACTTTTCTGAACATCACCTATTTCTTCTCCCTTCATAAGAAAAACAATAACTTATGTTTGGGTAAAGGTTAATGTTTGTAGAAGGCTCTACTTACACAATCTCATTAGATCACCTTCACAACTCAGTGAAATCAAAAATGTATTATTACCCTTACTTTATAGATGAGGAAAGCTCATCTCAGAGAAATGTAATGACTTATCTGCAAGGATCTACTAACATGCAAAGCCAGAACCAAAAAACAGTTCATCTGACTACAAGGCCTTTATTCATTACACTAAACTCTACAGACTTACATGCTCTAATAGGTATAGTTGGTGCTGTATTCCTCCATCCCTCATCCTTTGCACAGCTTTACCTTTCTCCTTCCCAAATATCTTATTTCTCTCATCTGCTTGCCTTAAAAACAATGTACAATGACTCTCCTCCTTAAAATAGATATGAAACTACTTGTCCAAAGCCAAACATTTAATCCATTTAAACAAATCTCATAGTAAAGTAGTAAATAGTACTTTTAAGTGATATTTTGTTTAGTTAAAAAAGCTACCCATATGATAATTTAACATTTCTAAAAGCAAATTTCAAAACTATGAAGAAAAATATGAAATTTATAAGTGAGTGTCCAATTTGATATGCCTTGGTAAGGCAAGAATGTGTAATGCCAGTTAGCAATGTAGAACCTTCAGGTCACTGCAAGGTTATATCTTCCATAAAGAAGACAGCTCCTTCAAATGATCCTTATAAATTGTGTTCTCTTGACCTTTCAACATTCAGACTTCCCTCTTCTGGACATTACACACAAAGGCAGGGGGATTCTTCCCATTTGTTTTATTGCTTAGATTGAAAGCTAATAAGGAACAAGGAAATTGTCATTAACTAGTTTGAGCAAGTCATTTAACTTCTCTAGGCCTCAATTTTCTTATCTATAAGATGAGAGTGTATGACTCCATGATCTCTACATTTCTTTACAACTCCAATATTTCTAATACTCAGTAATTTCATAATTCTTTCTTATGGAGAAGAATTTATTATTGAGTGAGTCTGTCATGAATCCTGTACAGAGATTTAGTCTGTGAAGTGTGTTATACCAGACTTGATGTGAGTTGAAAATTTTTGTATCTTTTAGTGTGGAATATACATTGTTGTTGTTGATCACAATGATGAGGCAGTATGGTGGTACAAAAAGTAGAGGATATGATGTAGAGTCAGGAAGATACAGGTTTGGACCATGCCTCAGATAATTAGTTTAGGCAAGCTATTTAACTTCTCTGTGGCTCAACTTCCTTAACTTTAGTCTCTAATGTCAATTCTATCCCTTAATCTATATTCCTGTGATTTTATATTATCTCAGACTTGGATCATCTAGAGAGTTTTTCAGTGAGACTATCTCACTTCATAATGCTCTGTTTCAGTTGAAATGTCTTTCCATGTTGGAAAAGATTTCCATCCTCACCTCTACCTCATAGAATTTCTATCTTCCTTCAAGTCAAGCCTCTCAGTATTTCTCCATAGCTAGTTATTAGCATTCTTTCCATCTCAAAATGTTTTCTATATGCTTTGTAATTGCTTAATTGTAACGTTCCATGTGGCCTCAATAGATTTTAAGCTTCTTAATGGCAAGACCTTTTTTTTTCTTTTTATCCCCAGTACACCCTTAATCACTCAAAAAATTATTTATTGAGTGCCTACCATGTGCTAGATAATGTTCTAGGAACTGCTCATACTAAACTAACCTTCCAGCTCTGATTTTGTAATTCCATGATTCTTTTATCTTGGTCCACTGTTACATTGTGAATGACTGGGATTTTTCCAGAATCCATGCCCCAAATTCCAGGAGTTTGGCAGCAATTAAAGGTTGTCTAATCCCTTTCTATTTTTATATGTTTGGTAGTAAATTATTTGTTAGCATTTAAAAATTATTATTAATGATAAAATCTCACTTTAAAAAAGATTGTCTTGTAGATTGTATGATTTGATCTTGAGATAAGTTTTCCTGAAAGTAGTAAATTGATCTCCTCAAATTGAAGTTTATCATCATAAAGGAGCAATACATATGCCTATGGTCAGCACAAATGATCCATACACCACAAACAAGTGTTGTTGGGAAGAAATCACATAAGATTATATATATATATATATATGTGTGTGTGTGTGTGTGTGTGTATGTATGTATATATGTATGTATATATGTATACATATATGTATATATGTACATATATGTATATATGTACATATATGTATATATGTATGTATATATGTATGTATATATGTATACATATATGTATATATGTACATATATGTATATATGTATATATAGATGTATATATGTATATGTATATATGTGTGTATACATATGTATATGTGTGTATATATATATATATAGATATATATAGATATATATATATATATAGATATATAGATATATCTATATATATCTGTAAAAGAAGTTGGGCCAGTCACAAAGTGGAAGTGAAGAATAAACAATGGACAGTCTGCATGCTCAACTGGCATTCAATCAATATTAAGAGGATGAGAGGAAGTTACCCAGCCAAATGGGGAGACATGCCTGAAGGCTGCAATCTATGCCTCTGGAAAATATTACTACATCTGTGTGATCATAGATCCATTGTAGAATTGGAATAATCATTTTTTCCTATTCTGGTTAAATTAGAGTCCTATTTACAA